GAGGGAAGGGGTGGGGCCGAAAAATCAGAAGATTTGGAAGAGGTTGCCATTTCAGAAGAGTAGAGGAAAGCAGAAGATAGAAGGTAAGGATGCAAGGTTGAAGACAAAGGCGCAAAGTAGAAAATGAAGTTACAAAGGAGAAGTAAAAGTTCGCGTAAAAAACCAGGGTAAAAGACTAACGAAGTGTTTAAAGGAAAAGCCACCTAGGGTACTAGAAACGACGGAGGCGAAGGGTAATTAATGTTGCGTGTACAGTAAGGCAGCAGACTGACGCGATGACGACATAAAACAAAAAGAAACCTAAAAACCCTGTAAACCCTAAAACCCCAGAAACCCTAAACCCGAAGTTTTGTGGGCCCCCGAACACCAAGGCGGGAACCATGTTGAAAGAATATAAACGGAAAACTATTTATATTCTTCCAAGGGGGCATTTTTGTTAGTGGAAAATCGAGAAAAGTGATCGAAAAACGAAGGAAAGAAAAAATCGAGAAACATGTGATTGATTGATCGAAAAGATGGATAAAAAACCATTTGATGTCTAATTAGAAGTACGTGGCACATAAAATCGAGAGTTAGAATCGAGAATCGAAGGAGTAATAGTTAAAGGTCTATTTGTTGAATAAAACCAAGAAATTGGAAGTAGATGACGTTAAGGTTAAGGGGAATCGAAAGCAAATTCAAAGTTCTCGAGATTTTAAAATCGAAATTAAGGGGAAGGCTAACCTGTGTAAATATCGAAATCTTGGCCAGATCATAAAGAGAAGAATAGTTAAACGCGCACATAGGAAGCAGTTTCTAAATCGTGGCAGAGGTCGAAGATCATGGGAACGTGGGTGCAGTTTTGACATCACAGAAGAAGAAACTACAACGTGCACGAAGAACGTGGTAGCAGTTTTCGTTAACTGCTCCTAAGAGGCTACTTGAAAGATGATCTATAAATAGAGCGAAAGATGAAAGGGGAAGAGGGAGGAAATTGGCAGAGAAGAACAGAAACACTAGTGAGGAGTCTACCGGAGAACGACGAACATCATGAAGTTTCTGGCGATCTGGATTTTCATGTTCATTGATTACCTTTAACCGTTTTCTTTATTTTCCCTGGTAATTTACTTTGATGCAATTTATGTTTAACAACTTTAAGTTTCTGTATTTTCGATTCCTTGTCATTTCTCGTTAATGAAAGTTAAGTTTCTGCTTTTAAACTCCTTGTCATTTATATTAACGCAATTTCGATTTCCTGTTATTTACGTTTCCAAGATTTCGATTACTTGTCATTTACCGTTTATGTAATTTCGATTTCCTGTTGTCTATTTTTTTTTTTTGCAAAGTTAGATTTTTTATTTACAATCCTGCAATTGTCGATTCCTTGCCAGTTACATTTAATGCAATTTTGAGGTTTATGCACTTTACATTTTCTGCAATTTAATATTTCTTCGTAGTTTTACATTCGGCACCGCTTTTCGATTAGTCACTTTACTGATTTCCTTATTTCGAGTACTTCAAATACAAAATACCAAAAAATAGGGTTTTCGATTATTAATCTTAGTAGTTTCTATACCGTGGTGTTTCCGATTCTCATACGTATTTCGATTGAAATTCAGTTGCTAGCCTAAGTATAAAGAATCTATGTGGTTGAGTTTTTGTTAGAATCAAAAGCCTCTTAAGAATCGAAATTAATCAAAATTCCACCAGAAACAGTAAGTTATTTTTGTATTTTATATAATTTTTACATTAGTTTTTTAATTAATGTAAAATGTGTTAAAAATTTACAGTACACCGTATATATCAAACATCCACACTCATTACTCGATTACTCATTACTATGACACACCAAATTATTAACAAAATTATCCAGAGACAAACAGTACTATTATCAAAATATTGAGAATCTAAAATTCATTCATTATAAATAGTACAAAATATTAATTGGCATTACAATAAAAAAATTTTTAATTAGTTAATATTTTTTATCAATAAATTTATTTAAAAAATGTTAAATAAAAATTATTAGTGAATAACGAGGTTGTGAAACTAACTTATGATGAAATTTAATCCCACTTAAATGGATCTTGGTTCAAACATTTAAGCAAGGTGAGGCTTTCTTATAACCAACAAACTTTTCCTTATAAGTGGTCTTCACTTGGCATCTTTATTTTACTTAAGCAAGTGTTGCTTTGGGAAAATTATGTAACTTAAGTGAAGGATAATCAAAATGAAATACTAACCTACAAATATATATTTTTAAATATTTTCAAGAAACCTAAGAAAAACAAACAAAATAATATTTTGCATAAATATATATTTTATAAAATAAGATACACAGATGACATAAAATATATGATTTATCTTCTTGCACTACTAGGGTCCAATATGTCACCATTTGTGACAATTTTCGTGATGAACACATTAAAGTTATGACAAACGGTTTTAAAAGAATTTGGTTATAAATTTTATTAGGAAAGTTATATCAAACTTTTTCATAAATGAAATCACAACATTTTTTAACGATTTTTTTTTTGTCTTTTATGACTAAGTTTCACCGTCACTGAAACTTGTTTTTAGTAGTTTTGGTGCACTTGTATAAAAAACTTTGAGAGAAATAGAAGTTAAAAACGTGTCACCTCGAAAGAAATTGAACATATATTGAGTGATTTCTTCTGAAAAGAATTTGTAATATATGATCGTCACTAAATTTGTGACAAAATATTTATATTTTATAATTTAAATACAAAATTCATGGCTTGTTACCATTTTTGAAGTATTTTTATTCATCACCAAAAATACTTTTTTAGTGACTTGATTTATAACATGTAAGTTATCTTAAAATAATAAAATAGGATACTATTTTGAAAACTAAACCATTGGTAGACTAAAAAAAGTAAACGTTTACGGATTCATACAAGACCAGTTTTACTTTTTTTTCTTACAATAATTAGAATCAACATTTATCATTTTCTTTTTAATTATAAATGTGAAATGGTTACCGTTTTTTTTTTTCTGGAAAAAAAAAGAGTACTCATTTTCGATGAGTTTTCCATTTTGAAATGTATACATTTCTCCAAAGTTAACGTGGTTAATAAAATAGTACTTATTGCTATTAGTAAATATTGTTAATTTTCAGAATTATTATAGATTTATATGTATTAACTTATATTCGGATAAATATTGTTCTCACCCAAAATATTACCATCTTTATGTTATAATGAACAAGTTTAAATTGATAACAATGAAATTACGATTACAAATAGAAAATAAATATTAATATTTAAATAAGATAATGTATAAATTTATTTATAAGATTCTTATAAAAATAATGATAATTATCATTTTATTAATGTGATTTTATATGTAATTGAGTAATTAAGTATATTAATTATATATTATTATGATTATAATATATATTAAATAACTTAAATAAAAAAATGTTTAATTAATACGAAATTAGTATTGATAGAATATAAATATACACTAGGCTGTCAAAACTAGTAGATAAGTTTGATCTAGTCGCGTGGAAAAGAAAAAATGTTGATCCAATCAAATTTATATTTTAAAATTCATCATAATTTTTAGTGTAATTTCATTTTATTTTAGACCAAAAAAATAAATACTGACCAGAAAATTTTAAAAAAATTATTAATATATCTATATCAAAATAATTAATTAAAAAAATATTTAAATAAAATACTAAAATAATATATTTTTAAAATATAAATTATATTAATAAAATTAATTTTTATTTAATATATAAATTATAAATGAATGGATTCATTGGCTTCCAAAATAAAAAAAATTATTTTTTATTATAATCATTTATTTTTTAAAATTTTATTAATTTAAAATAATAATTAATGTTAATCATTAAATATTAAATAGGTGATGATTAAAGATTTATTTATTTTTAGAATAAATAAATTTCTTATTAAATTAATTTATAATACATATATTTTTTAATAAAATAATATTAATTTGATTTTTATTTAAAAAATAATTATTATTATTATTATATAAAATAGTTTAACTCTAAATCCACGGATTAACCTGTTTTAAGTTTATGAACTATACAAAATAAAAACAGATTTATTTTATTTTATTTTATAATTTTTTTTACTTAATTTGGTATATTTTTCATTCGAACTTATGTATCAAATTAAGTTTCTTTTGACATCATTAATAATATATATATATATATATATATATATATATATTTTTTTTTTTTTTTTTTTGAGAAACAAAATTCCAAAACATAAATAAATATTATAATTGAGCTCGCCCGCATAGAGTATCAATCACGTTGAAACACAGACATTATAAAACTTACTCAGCTTAATTACATCCCATACTTTTTTTTCAAAAAAAAAAAAAAATAGAACCTATATTCAAAATTTACCTACTTTAGCAACTAAAATGGTAAATCAGCTAGTTTCGTTTAGCTTGAATAAATATGGACGTGGAAACGAAATCCATCATTTATATTTTCATTGGTGAAGGTGAAAATCTTCCTCTTTGTTCTTTCTTTTTGTACTCTTTTGATCTCTCTTTATGCGGAAGATTCTTGAAAAGCTTCTATTTCAATCTTTCTACGGAATCAATTTAGAGAAGAAAAAAAACGGTTAAGTCAAGAACACTCGATCACGCCGTCTCTTCATTCTTAGAGTTCTGCTGCCACTCTCTCTCTTTGGATAAGAGAAAGTAAAAAAACAAATGATAGAAGAATACTTAATATAATAAGCTTAAATGTAGAACTTTTATTGGTAGAAATATCACATAGAATACATCGGACTAGTGAGGCTGACAAGAAAGACCAAGGAGCATTTCAAGTTTCAACCATCAACATGATAATAACCAAAACTAGAAGTACGAACGAAATGTTCGTTGGCTAAATGGCATGCACCAGACAGAATTCCAAAGTACACAGAGTAGTGATGAATAACGAATATAGCAAAATATAGAACCTTTAAGACATACTAATGAACATTATGATACTGGTTATAAGAACTGTTGGCTTAGTAGCAGACGAAATCCTTAGGAATTTTCTTTCCACAGTAGTTGAGTAGCAAGTTCAACTTGACGGGAACATTGAGGTTGATGCCCAACACATTAGCTTTGAGAGCAGTGCAAAGGCACACAGCAGCTTCAAGATCAGCCAGACCCTCAATGAGTTGGCAGCATGGGGTCTTTGGTGGCTTCCCAAGTTCCACACCGATCAAACCTAACACATTAGCGCACACACCAAACTTCAGAGTGTTCTCAGGGCAACTACCATACTTTGTGGAAGGTGGCTTTGGGACAGGTGGGTGTTTGGGAACTTTGGGGGGTGGGTTGCATGGCACATATGTGGAGCTAACCACAGTGAAAAGGATGATGTTGAGACACAAGATAAGAGCACCCTTGGAAGCCATTTCACACTGGTGTTGGAAGTTGCTCACTCTTAGAACAGTACTACTCTTGCTTTGGTTTGGTGTGTGAGATTGGAGAGGAATGTGTGGGGGTTTTATAGGGTAGTATTGGAGAGTGTCTTTGAATTTTAAGGTTTAAAATTATTTGGAGGTCCATGTGATGATGATGAGAGTGAGCTCATTGGGTGAAATTGTACAAGCTGGCATGGGGTCAGCATGGACGAAAGAATATATTATATAATATCTGGTTTGGAGCCATATATAATTTGCAGTGTGGCTAGTTGTCAACTCGATGAAATGATTTCACGCATACGATGTTCTGAAATTTTCAAAATAGTTTGATTAGTTTGAACAATGCATAAGATATTGCTGGTTTTTGTCATTTTTCATCGATTATTGAAAATGAATTATTACGAGGGCTCAAGGTTGTTCTTATTACTCTGTATTTGTCTCTTCCAACTCAATTCCTGTTGTCGAACATGCTATTACGAGGGCTTAACTTGTGAAATTTGTCTTCTTAAGGAATCACTACAAAACTATGTGTATACACATGTCAGCCGATCCATGAGACACCGTGTTTAAGTAAAGCATTCTTAGTTCAATTATGGACACGGGTTGCAGTTGATGATGTTTATATTTGAACGCTTTTGATCTCAAATAAATGTGATTAACAATGCAGATGAAGTTCGAAGATTCTGTGCTGATCATGTGCAAGACTGAACCCTGAAAATAGAAACTTTGGGAGGTGAAAGCCGAAAGAAACTCCACGCCAATTGATCGTTATGTTACATGAACTAATGGAACATTTTATGATCTTACAAAATTTTGAACAAGTTATGATGAGTTTGTTTTGGCCAGACAGAATACTAGCAATACTCCATTTTCAAAGAATGTTGAATTACTCTGGGTATGCATATTTGGAACTTTTTTTTTCTCCTTCCTTTTGAAATTATGGTAACACAAATTATTCCTATAAATGTGATAACAGTGTGTCACGAATATCAACTTAAAAAAAAAAAAAAATCAGCTTTCTATAATGTCCGTACAGAAAAACGATTACCTACCTTAATGTCGTACTCCATGTTTGATTGTTTCAATTGAAAGTTCTCTAACCTACGACTCGTACCTATGATATTAAAAATGAACTCAATATTTAGATCATGATCAACCTGTGCTTGATAACAACCAACAAGTATAATGGTTTAAATAAGCCAATTCATGATATACCACGATCCACGAATGCAATAAGTGTACGTTTATTTTAAAAATGTATAAAAATTCTTACAAAAGGCTTTAAACAATTTTCAGAAGCTAAAAAGGTTCATTAAGAAATTTATTCAAACTGATTATATTTTCATTATACTGTTCATTCATTAGTAAATTTTATGTAAATCTGAATAAATACTTTAGGTTTTGATGCTGTGATTTTTTTTTTTTTTATATATATGCTTAAATTTGTAGTCTAATTTCAAAGTATTTTTGTGTGATAAATTTATTTGTTTTTTAATAAATATTTTAAACTAATACTTAAATAATTTATGATTGGCTGATATTTACACTAACTATATACGAAAGTTAAACTCCAAAAAAATTCTTTCGTCATAAATATATAGTAAGTAATAGGTTTTCAGCAACGTAAATACTTTTTAATTTATTTTTATCAGACACCCAGAGAAATATTAGATGATCCAGAAATATTCCTCAATTCAAACAAAGTACAAGTGATGTATATACTTAAATTTTCTAAAAAAGTTAATGATATTTGATTAATGCTTAAAGATTTGATGAGACCCATCCATAAGGGCTGATTTAATTAGAATTATCTAATAACTTATTGTAGTTATGGGGTCTTCCTTGTCTAATAGGTTTCTTCCTTTAAGTTAAAATCTTGACCAGCCTGCTCTTAAATGAATAATTAATTTTTAATTGCTATACAAACAAAAACTATTGAAGAGTGAGAAAGACAAGAGTCTTCAAAATGGTCTGATCAGTTCATTCTATATCAGAAGTTAAGTAAAAAAAAAAATTATAATCAGTCTGTCCTATATTTTAAAATATAGACAAAAATTTATAATTTAATCTAATTCTATATTAGACCAACAGGTTAACAGATAAATTTTCATTTATTAATTTTAAATATTAACATATTTATATATAACTAATTAATTAAAAATATATTTAAATATAAATATAAAATATTTCTAAAAATTAAATTATATTAATAAAATTAATTTTTAAACACTTTGTCTTAGTTTTGTATAAAAGTCCCTTCGACCTCACCCCTAAAATGGCAAAGAAGAGCTATTTTGAGTCTTCTTTTATTTCTAACGGGACAAAAAAAACAGAAAGGGATGATTTAAGATATGATGATTTAATATATAAATTATAAAAAAATATAATTATTTAATCTTAAAATAAAAATTAAAAATTTAGCTTTTATTATTATTATTTATTATTTAGTAACTTATTAATCTAAAATAATATTAATTTTAATAATTAAATCTTAAAATAAGTGATTGTTTTATACTTATTTTAATATTTATTATTAGAATAAGTAAATTTTAAAATTAATTTATAATATATATATATATATTAATAAAATGATATTATTATTTTTATTTAAAAATTATTATTATTTTATAAAATGTATCAACCCATCAATATAGGAGTTAATCAACTTAAACTCATGTAAGTCATAATCTAAATATGGTAGGTTAAAATAACTCTTATCCAATTTAGACTACAAATTTTTTTTATCTAATATGATCTATTTGTTTGAATCTTTCATACTAAATTATGGAGTTAAGTATGTTTTGACATGATAGAAAAGAGGAACATGATTTGAAGTAATTTTCTCTCCCTTCTATATAATTAATTAACGATTAAAAATAATTTAACTGTGTGGAGAGATTCAGAGAGGAGTCGGCACCCAAATTTGGGTGTGTAAGTCATTTTCCAATATACAATAATTTAAACAATATTATCTCCAAATTACATGGTTGACTCGTAATGTCTATTAAGGCTGCTGCGGACAAACAAAATGCAATTGGCAAAGTTGAACTCTTGGCGTATTATGGACAATTAGCATGAAAGGTGTGGGCTAGATCAATGTATCTCCAAGAAAAACCATCAAATATGGAGTAAAGTTGAGCATTATTAGGGTTGTAGGCCATTCAAGGACAACCTTTTCTCCAACACTTGCCTCCATCTATCACTCTCCAACATTATCTCCTCATTAACACCACAACTTTAGATTTCCTATGCTTATGTTTTCTAACTATGGAGGAACCATCGTTTTCATCCACACTCCACACTACCTTCGTTCTACACGACAATAGATTGCCTACCACGGACGCGTAAATTCAGAAAAAAAGTCACCTCACCATGTTCCTAGCAGAAAGAAGGAAAGTCGTGGACTAGATTCAGTAGTAAATGTTGACCTCATCTATGGCTAACTTAATATTCAATATTGCTTAATGCTAGGTTTGTGTATGAATGGGATTTTCTTAAAATCACTTGTAAAAAGAGAAAAGAAGATTGTGTTACGTTTTATCTTATATGCATTTTCTCTTCAAACCTTTTTCTGATTATCTCTCTCTAATTATGATCGGTAAGGGTACCCATTAGGGTTTGTCTAATGATGAAAGAGTTCATTAGTGTGTATAACGTTTTAGATTATATTTTCATTATTGTCATCAACCACGAATAATCATAACTGGACGAGTAAGGGTCATCTCAACTTTCATTGCTCCCTGCTGAAAATGTGGATCTAAGAAGCCGATATCAAAGAAAATAGCAGCACTTGTCATACAAATATATATTAAAATTTAATATTATGGTCGTAAATGTTGAATATTAGATCGTAATATTGACTTTTGGGGCTGATTATTTGATATTCATTCTTTTTTTATCATCAGCACTCCAAGCTACTGTTATGCACCTGAGATGGAACTTCAGCGTTAATTAATAATATCTATCTATTTAGGTCGAACGGCAAAGCATGAAGTAAAAACCTTATTAAACAAATTTATTCATATAGTTTTCTGCTATTCAAAAATGTCTATTACTGAAAATGTCATTTCTACTCGAACAATAATGCTGTCTAATTAATAAGAACAACTACTTATTTTAAACCTCAAACATGGCCATGGTTCCGAAAGATTTAAACAAATAAGATTACGTTTAATTTGTCTTGTTCTTTTCTGATTCCACCTAACTTCTTGACAAAATCAGTTCACTAGTGGGACAAAAAATTAGCATAGAAGACATGAATATATGAGCTGTGAGATCAATCTAATCTGAACTAAGTGCAAGTGGTTCATCATGATCCATATAATTAATAAATAATGTAGATTGTGCTCATTAGTTTCACAGTTATTTTTCCTTCATAAAATTAAATCACAAGTGTCTTTATAAAGTCATTAAATAAAATTACTATATTTAATAGGTCAAATTTTAATTTAAGGAAGTAATAATATATGTATACATAAAAGTCATACTTGTCATTTCGCTTAATTTCAATTCATAAGTTGAAATTTGATATAATATCATAGTTTCAGTCTTGTGATATTGAAAAAAAAACTAATATTATCTACTTCAATTCTTTTTAGTTGAGGCCTAATGTTGAGGAGAGGTCTTATGTATATGTTGGATACTTCAATTATCACCAATTAATGTTAAATTGAAATTAAACCAATGAGAATCCTTTTTAATATCGTCTATTATAGTAACATCTGAGTTGAGGGGATTTTGGAAGAGTCTCACATCCTCAATCAATCTGAATTTTCATTATATATATATATATATATATATATATATATATATATATATATATATATATATATATATATATATTACTTCCCTTAATATTAATTGATATTAAGTTATATTAAATCAAAGATGGTATTACAATATTTTTAGTGTTATTATAGTAGACATCTTAATTAAGGGAAATATTGGGAATATCTCACATCATCTCTCTTAATTTTTGTAATATAACTAAT